GATTTGTAATCTAGTCACACTCTATTAGGAATAAGCAATCAAAAATCTCTACTGTCCTACAAAATGTGGCAATATGTTTTTGCTCACAATTTTACAAAGTGGAAAATTTTTTATTTTATTTTATTTTTTATTTTTCAATTTATTTTTATTTATATATCCTGGTTATGTTGTACCATATACCTCTGAAAAGGCAAATGCTTATTTTTTAAAAATAAGCATTTTTCGCTTGAAGAGGCTATCTTCATTTTAATAAGATCAAATGCTTGGGATATCAAGGAACCATTCATTGAAAGTCTGCAAGTAATGGCAGCAATCCAGGTTTTTTTTGCAAGATTAAATAACATGAGAACAATAATCCTTAGAATAATTGATGTAGCTACTCCATAATCTGTTTTGGCCTCTAAACATATAGACAGGTTTGTCTGCCCCATTTATTTTAAAATTTTACAATTTCAATTATTTAAAACCAATTTTTAATTTTTATTCCAACTTTCTTTTCTCAGGTAAACAAATTAATCCATGTCCATAAGAATCCATTTGTCTTACAATTGATGAATGGCAAAAAATATTAACCTTTGCTAGTGGAAGCTTTTGCAGGAGGCCGCATTGTCTGTATAAGACGGAGCAGATTGCTGACGAGGGAGTCCTAAAATGGTAAATAAAGAAAAAAAATTCTAGAAGCTGCAAAATTTTTTAGTAAAGTTTAATAGCAATAAAGCCAACATCCCTCCCTAAAGCAGTACTGTACTGTATTTTTTCTGGGTTGATGATACATTTGACCTTTGAATGGCTTGATACAGACCCACTTAAGAAAGTAAGGGGACAGACAAAATGTTTACTTTGAATATTGTTAATATGAATATTTTTATTATATATTGAATTATTTTCTTTTCATGGAATATTAGAGGTTACAATTTGGTAATATGTCTGGAACTTGTACTCAAGTATTTGGGAGCCTCAGATTATGTACTTCTGATATACCACATGATACCTTCAAAAGACTTTAACAATTCCTTACTGTGAACTCAGCACCATTCTTCATCAGAGCTGTTTTGAAAGTATCAAAGTTTGTATTTTTCTCTGCAAGACTGATCACAAATTCGGCTGTGAACAGAAAAATTAAGAGAAATTATTATGCTGAAATTATTTAAACACTCAATTCTACTTTATTCATTTAATTTTATGGCTACCCATTGTGAGTAACAGTGGCCAATAATCAGTTGGAAACAAGGAAATAATTAAAAAAAACAATTAAACATCATCTTTAGCACGACTCCTAATCTACACAAATATTTCTGTTAAAATAAGCCCATCAGTATCTTAGCCCAGGTCTTCAATGTCTTAGAAAAGGCTGGTAAGATTGTGAGCATGTTGTTCCATACGATTGGCACCATAATAGAGAAGGCACACTTTCTGAGTACAATTACATGATGCTGTTTGATAGAAGAGACTTGTAGAGGGGATAGGAAGAAACAACTAGAGTGGCATAAATAACCTGGTTCTGTGCTATGAATAGCTTAATAATTGATGACCAGAATCTTGGATAGCATAGCATAATCAAGGATACTGAAAATTGCCAAGAGAACAAGGAGAGCCAGAATGCATTTATCACTACGTTAGATGAAACCTGGCTCAATAGCAGTAACCTTGAAAGGGATTTTGGTCAATCAAACATGAGCTAGAAGTGTTTAGCAGGATCCAAAAAAGCCAATGCAATTCTAGGTTGTATTAACAGGACGATAGAATCATGATCATGCGAAGTATTAGTATTGCTTTATAAAGTCTTAGTAAGACCATACTTAGGATATAGCATCTAGTTTTTGTCACCGTATTATAAAAAAGATGTTGAGATTCTGGAAAGAGTGCAGAAAAGAGCAACAAAGATAATTAGGGACTGGAGGCTAAAAAATTAAGAATGGTTGCAGTAATTCGATATGTTTAGGTGACATGATAGTAGATATTTGAGGGACTTACCACAAAGAAGGGGGGGGGGGTTCAACATATTTTCCAATGCACCTGAAGGCAAGACAAGAATGGATGGAAACTAATAAAGAATTCCAACCTACAACTAAGGAAACATTTCCTAACAGCAGAACAATCAACCAGTGGAATGGCTTGTCTTCAGAAGTTGTGCATGCGCCATTCACTGAAGGCTTTCAAGAAGAGACTAGGCAGCCACTTATCTACAATGGTATAGGCGCTATAGGTATCCTGCTTGAACAGGAAATTGGACCAGAAGACCTCCAAGGTCCCTTCCAACTGTTATTCTGTTATTCTCTCAGGAGATGATCAAGTGCAATTAATATCTCACTACGCCCAGGTCTTGAACCCTGATGAAAGGGGTTTAGATAATCAGCTTCTTCCAGGGTTCTCTGAAGTCCCAGCCTGACCACTTTTTCTACATCCTTCACTAAGAATGGAAGAGCAAGAATTCTCCAATAGCATTTGGTCCAGTTACAATTTCCGGAGGGTGGGATGAACTATCTCCTCCTTAATTGTTACTAGCACTACCCACTCACTCAAGAATGAAATCACCACGACGTGGATATAACAATATGTTTCATGGGAGGCCTTAACCATTGAGGAAGGACATGGATGTAAACAGATTCACAGATTTGTGGATGTTGTTCACTTGGGACCAAAAACTTCATAGAATAAAATATTTTTTATTGACCAAGTGTGATTGGACACCCAAGGAATTTGTCTCCAGTGCATAAGCTCTCAGTGCATACAAACAACAAAGTGATGAATCATAAATCATGATAAAACAACAAAGTGATAAGTCATTAGAGATCAATAGGAGATAGTAATAGGAAAGATGAGAAGGATAATAGCAATACAGCCCTACTATATGGGTAAGTATCCTTAGGTATAAGACAGAGAATTCGGTGTTTAACAGTGATGGCATGAAGGAAAAGCTGTCTTTGTGTCTAGTTGTTTTGGCATGCAATGCCCTATAGTGGCATCTTGAGGAGAGGAGTTGAAACAGTTTATGTCCAGGATGCGAGGGGTCTATAGATATTTTCTCAGCCTTCTTTCTGGCTTGTGCTGTATACAGGTCCTCAATGGAAAGCAGGCTAGTTACAATTGTTTTTTCTGCAGTCTTAATGATCCGTTGAAGTCTGTAACTGTCCTGTTTGGTTGCTGTGCCAGATCAGACATTATAGTAATACAAATGACAGAGTCAATAATTCTTCTGTAAAACTGCATCAGCAGCTCCTTGGGCAGCCTGAGCTTTCTGAATTGACACAGGAAAAACATTCTTTGTTGTGCCTTTTTTATTATTCTAATATAAGGTATCCATCTCAAATCCTTATTATAGAAGATTATAGAACCCAGAAACTTGAAGATATTGACTGCTGATACTGTGTTGTCTAATATTGTAAGAGGTGATAAAATAGGAGGGATCCTCCTAAAATCTACTATCACGTCTGCAGATTTAAATGTGTTCAGCTCCAGATTATTAAACTGCACCAAAAGGACAAATGTTCAGCCTCCAGTCTACATGCAGATTCATCACAGTCTCAAATGAGACCAATGACCATTGTCTCATCTGCAAATTTCAGGATTTTAACAGTACTCTTAAATACTTAAAATTGGGATAGCTAACATCTGCTTCCACCTCTGCCATTGATTGTTAATAGAACCAGAGCATCACAATTAATTTCTGTAAGCCAGAACATATAAATAGGGCATAGATACTACTGATACAAAATAACTCAAGATAACAAACAAGCAACCCATACAACTTGTGTCATGAAAGAGAGAAAACGTTCAGCATAATTAATCAAGTTGACATATGGAAAGATGCAGGACCTGGGATGTTGATTTATGTACTGGGTATCTTGGAACAGCCACAATTACTGGTGCATTTCCTACATATACTGCTATTCTAACTTCTTTGCCATAAATACATATAGAGAGAGAGATAAAATAACAACAACCATAAGAAAACCAGAATTTTCTATTGATTTAGGGCAACATACAATTCTGCCTGTCCTAGGAAAACCGTTGACAGATGCTCAAAATGCAGTTGCAATTTAACGCTACGTCAGACTGTTTTTACAGGGTTTCCCTCCGTCTTCTTCAGAAGCAAAAGCAAAGCCTCGTTTTTTTTGCGACTGAGTTCCTCCGGTAAAGCTCCCTTACGAGACTGTCATCTAAGAAACAAGAAGCTCCGTTGGAGGAAACACAACAGGCCCAAAGCAGCTTTGCCAAAAGGAATTCACTGCGCCAAGTAGCAGAAGGCCGGGGAAGGAATACAAGGCGGTGAAGAAAGGCGAAGGGGACATCATCAGGCGCCTCACAGAACCCACGATGCCCCCACGGGAGCCTTGGCCTCCCTCCCTCCCTCCCTCTCCAGCCCAAGAGACCCACCTAGATCCTTGTCGTTGATGCCCAGGTGGTTGTCGAGTTCCGTGCAAACTTTGGAGACGAGCGACAGATACTCGAGCTTGGCGAGCTCCTCCGTAGGATCCGCCATGACGCCCCTAAAATATCCTCCCCGTCCGGCCGATCTCCAGCCACAAACACTTCCGGGTTCCTTTCCTTACATCAAGAAAGAACAAGGCGGTTTTTATATTTCAACGGCTCCCTCCGAAGATCGTTTGGGAGAAACCTCCGAGGAGGATTTCCAGTTACCTCCCCTCTCGGCTAAGACGAAGTTATGACGGATTTAAACGGAGATGCGAATCCTCACATGGACAAAAAAGAGGCCTGCGCGACGTCTTACGCTCAGGAGGCGGGAAACCCACAGAGAGTCAGTGAGAGACCGAAGAAACTACTTCTCCCAGCATCCCTTCCGATCCAAGCGCCTCCCCTCTTCTTCCCGGAAGTGCGCTCCCCGAACTTGATTGGCCGCTCTGGAGACGAGACGTGAGCATGTGCCAAAGATAGGGGAAAAGATGGCGGAGCCGTCGAGCGTCTCTTCGGAGGCTCCTTGGGGAGGAAAAGTGAGCGATGCGAATAGGAAAAGCGAGGGACAGAATCAGCTGTCAGAGCAGACAGAGCAGTATTTTTAGGAAAGATGTTAGTTGTTTGTTGGGAGCCAGTATTATCAAAGTAGAGGGGGCGTGAACTTATGCACTAATAAGTGCCTATCGCCCCTCTCATTGTATTTTTATTCTTTTATTCTTGTTCTCGTTTTGGTTTGACAAATTCTGATCAATACATAAATAAAATATAAAGTAGCAGCCTAGCGAACCTCTCTGAACATAGGAAGATTGCTTTTTCTTGACGTGTTGAGTTAACCGTAGAAAGTTGTCTGTGTTGAGGACTCGTTGCCTGTAACGGGTGGGGGGTGAGATTTAGGTTGGGTTCCTGCAGTATTTTGGGCTGAAGGTAGCCGATACATTAATTTGGTTCAGTGAGCAAATGTAGCCGGTGTGATTGCGCGCTGTTGTGCAAACTCTCAACTGGATAAATTGGGTACACGATGGTTTAATAAGCCATGGAGTAATATGTTGTGTAAACATAGCCACTGGCTTCTCAGGAATATTTCGTGCCAAGATTCGTTGAATTTGGTTTGTTGCATAGATAGAATAATAAAATAGACACTTTAAGATTCTAAAGAGATTACTCCTGGAATTAATAAGACTGTTGCTCCATTGATAGCAGTAGCTTTTTCTGCCATGATAATTAAAATGCGGATGACGATGTTTGTTTATAGGTGAGCTAGTAAATTTGTTGCTGCTTATCTCATTGCAAATTATCCTACATAAAACAGAAATGAAGACAGACAACATTAAGTTCCCACTTTAAACTTATAGAGAGCAAACATAAGCATGACTGGCATGTTCAAAACTATCTTTATTGAAAAATAACTTTTTATCTGAGACTTTATTGTTTGCACTTTATTAAGTATTACTGTAACTAGCATGCTGGATAGAAGAGTGACCAACGTTCTAATTTATATTACTATATTTTCTTTGAGGCAAAGTATTGTTTCCCTCATATCCAGAGTTTGAACTTTATAACTTTTAATGTTGCAACACCTCATTGCTTCCCTTCTTGTTTCTCTATTGCAACAAATTGTGCAAGGGTAAGACTGAAGCATTTTAGGGGATTATATCCTTGCATTGTAATTTAACTCTTTCCATAGGGATATTTTTTTCCGGAGGAAAATATACGAAATGTTGGCTTAGTATTGTAAAAACATGCCTTAGTTTGTTGCTCAGAAACAAGCCAAAAACTGATGATACAAATTGGACTCTGTGTGTGTTTATAGGCAGTACTTACTTATTTTATATATTCTATGTGAGGTAACAGTAGATCCATTGAACATACTTCTTCATGTAGTCACCATGGAGCTTTCAGAGATGCTTAGGGAAATGTATTTAATACAACTCACAACCTGAGTTATCAAAGTTGAACAATGGAAAAATGATCTCTTATATTTTCTCTTTGTGACATAATTCAACAGGTTAATATTTCTTATAATGACAATGGGTTGGATTCTGGTAAGTTGTAATCCCTTTATCATTCTCTTTCCCTGGTGCAATTCTTCTATGAAGAATTAATACTAGGAAATTAACGCATTTTAGTTTACGGTAGTAGTTAGGCATTATTTACAGTTGCTTCCATTTCTTATTTTCCCAAAGTTTGTTCACATGAGCAGTATTCAAGAAGCACATAGGCTTTGCTTATTTCATATTGTGCTTTGAATGAATTCCTAATAAAACATTGAGTGAATAGGAGGGAATAGTGTCCTTGCCTTGAAATCAAAATGACAAGAGAACCAATTGCAACGGAGGGGAAGGAAGAAAGGAGAGATAAACTAATTTTGCAAATGATAATGCCATTTACTGCAATGCATAGAGTACTTGCTGACTAAACAGTTCCTGTTTTTATTGCATAATTGCTATCAATACCTATTAGAATTTTTGTTTCAAATATAAGCAGGACTATCAATTTTTAAAAAATATTTATTGAACAGCAAATAGTATCTAAAGAATTACTAAATTAGTTTGAGTTATGAATACTTTTGTGTTTATTTTCTAGCACTCTTTGTAGAAAACAGAAAAAAAGTGATGATTGTATCAAGAGCTAATAGTATTGGTTCTACCAGTGCCTCTTCAGTACCAAATACAGGTATGGATTGCTTCCTTTCCTCTCAGTAGCTCTCAGTTTTCTACTCTTAGGTGTGTAGTGATATGTACCTTTGTCTAATATTCTTTATTTGTTCTTAAATGGCTGTAAATAGGCGATCCAAAATGGTAAAAGATGTCCACTACTTCAGTATCTTCATTATTAGTTCTCAGTCTGGTTGTTGTATTTGTTGCATTTGACCCTTAGTCTGGTCTTTATATTTAATCTTAGTCCCATTTTTCATTATGCTCCTTGACTTTCATTGCTAGATTTTGCATATCATTTTACTTTCAGCTATCAGAGTACAGTCGTCAGCATAGGGTAAGTTATTGATGTGTCTTCCTCCAGTTTTAAAATCACGCTCATCCTCTTCCACCCACTTTCCTTCAAAATATATTTCACAGGTAGGTGGAATAAATAAGCAGAGAGTATGCACTCACTTCTTTGCCACCTTTTGCCATGTTCTGTCTGTAATTTGATTTCCTGACTTGTGCATAGTTCCACATAAGATAATGAGATGATTTTGGAATTTGTTTCTAAGCATATTTTATAGCTTGAAATGATCAAAGGCTTTTTTTATGATCAATGAAGCACATGCAGAATAAACTGTTGGATACAGGTTTATTCAAGTCTGAGGCCTGGCACAAATTGAGTATGTAGCAGTCTGTTGCAAAGTCAGCACTGGGAGCTACCGCCTCCCAGCGCTCTATAGCGGAACTATGCCCCTCAGCTTCCCCACCCCCAACCACCACCCGGCGCCAGCATCCGGTTCCACAATAGCAGGCACCTTGTTGCAAAGTCAGCACTGGGAGCTACCGCCTCCCAGAGCTCTATAGGCGGAACTATGCCCCTCAGCTTCCCCACCCCCAACCACCACCCGGCACCAGCATCCGGTTCCACAATAGCAGGCACCTTGGTCCACCATTCGGTGCTTGGTCCGCACCAGCCTCCATCCCACGGCCTGTAGACCGCTTTTGCTCCACATGCTGTTACATCTGGCGCTGGCCAGCTGGGTCCAGGAAGGCTGCCAGTCAGCTGTGTGGGCGATAATGCCACCATTGCCTCCTTTTCTGCTGCTTCATGCTGTACCTAGAGCCAACGGCCGTCCCAGCCAGACACCTTGTCGCTGCCTGGGCCACCTCACGGCATGCCGCCGCATGGCTGTTCCTGCTGCCACTCTTTCCAATTCCCCCCTCCCCCCAGGTATGGCAAACCGGTTGGGGTTTGACACTTCTATTACTAAAGGTTCTTGTAAGTAGGGAATATCTTCTAATCAGGTGACAATGCTAAATCTAATTTTTATTTGTGCAATGCAAACTCAACATGTTGGAAATTAACCTAAGTCACTATAACCTTGCTTTGTGAAAATTGTTAACTGTAGATTTAGAAATGACATTTCTTAATTATTATACCAACATTCTATAATTCTAAACAGTTCCTGCCTAAATTTTGTGTAGGCAAAAAGTAAGTCTACACCATCCACAATTATTTTCAACAGATGTATCTCATGAATTTCTGACTGATACTAACCTAATTTATAGCTATTGAAATAATTGTGCAGACAGATACTGAACATTTCAGTAATTCATCCATAATCGCATAACCATCTGATGGATTTTTTCCTGTTGCTTCCTGAACACTTTTGTCTACCTAGTGCCAGGATGGTGAACCTATGGCATGTGTGCCACAGGTGGCATGCAGAGCCATATCAGTGGGCACACGAGCTCAGCTCTGGCACTCATGCGCGCCAGCCAGCTGGTTTTCGGGCCTTCTGGGCTCACCAGAAGTTGGCAAACAGGCCATTTCCGGCCTCTGGAGGGCCTCCAACTGGTGGCGAAGGCTGTTTTTGCCCTCCCCAGGCTCCAGGAAAGCCTCTGGAGCCTGGGGAGGGCGAAAAACGGGCCTACTGGGCCCACCAGGCCATCTCGTGCCAAAAGCAGGAGGAGTCCGGAGGGGTCACACACGCATGCATGGGGGGGCGGGGTGCATAGAATTATGGATGTGGGCACACACGCACGCGACCCCCCCCTCTCCCCCTGCTTTTGGCACGCAAAGGCAAAAAGGTTAGCCATTACTGACCTAGTGTATTCCTTTATTTCTAAACACATTCATATTTATTATTGTTCCTCATCACCCTTCAATTTTTTAAAGGCAGAATGGGGTAAAAAAACACACAAAAAAGTCATCTATTGAGTACCCCCATCCTGGCATCATAAAAAAAATTCCAAAAAAAGTAGAGACTGGAATAGCGCTTCCAACTGTATTAGTCATTCAAAGAGGGTCTAGGGCAGACATGTCAAACTCAAGGACCATGGGCCACATCCGGCCCAGATGTGGTTAGATCTGGCCTGTGGGGCCGCCCTGGAGATGGCGAGGGGCCGGCTCCTGCAGCCTTGGCCCCAGCCTGGCCGGGCACTTCCCTTGGGCACACACACAGGATGTAGCGAGCACGTGTGGGCTGGCGTCCCCAGTGAAAGGGAAGCACTTGGTGGCTGTGGGGCCAGCAGGTAGGCCGGGCTGATGAGCAGGCCATGGAGGCAACAGAGGCACTGGTGGCGGGTGCAGTGCTGCTGCTGGGGCTCTACCGTGTTTCCCCAAAAATATGACATATCCCAAAAATAAAGCCAAGCCTGAAATATATGCCCTCCCCTGAAAATAAGCCCTAGTGAAAGATTGGGCATGGCCAGCACAGGAGACAGCCATTCCCTTCCCCGGTCACTCCTGGAGGTTCAGCCCCATAATTGCTGCCCGCTGATCAGCTGAGCTAGAGAGGGCTGTGCAACTTGGCCCAGTTCTTCAGAGCACCTCCCCAGCTGCCAGTCTCCTTCCCCTTTTCCTGCTGATCTTTATTTACTTGGGATAGCAGCACAGATGCCCCTGGCAGGATTGCAAGGCTGAAGACTTCAGATGGAGCATTTTGGGGGTGTATGTCTGTGCTGCGATCCCAAAGAAAGGATAGGCTGCAGGAACCCCCACCCCCCCTTTTTTTTCCTGCTGATCTTTCTTTACTTGGCACCACAGCACAGACACACATCCCCAAAATGCTCCATCCAAAGCCTTCAGCCTTGCAATCCTGGAAGGGGTATCTGTGCTGCGATCCCAAAGAAAGAACTGTGTGTGTGTGTGTGTGTGTGTGTGTGTGTGTGTGTGTGTGAGAGAGAGAGAGAGAGAGAGAGAGAGAGAGAGAGAGAGAGAGAGAGATCTATCCCCCCTCCCTCAAAAACACACAGAGGTCCTTCTTAACCTACTTTCCAGCTCCGTTCTCCACTATCACATCCAGGGCAAGAAAAGCAGTCTGTGAGACTATGTAAAAACACCTTCCAACTTTGCGAGATTTTTTTTTTCTTCATGAGAAGTTGGAAGGTCTCAACTACCGGTATTTTTTTTTTTTAACCGTAATCCAACAGACTACTTTTTTTGTCCTGAATGTGCAGCGGAGAACGGAGCTGAAAAGCAGGTTAGAGAAGGGATGTGGCTACCCTGGGGAGGAGGGAGGGGGTTGGCATGGGTGGCCTAATCGGTGCTGCAGGGGCCGGGCTACAGCTACACAGAGCCAGGTGCTTTTCAGGCCATGGCCCTGATGGCCGCTGCAACTCTCGTGCCAGCTCTGCACACAGCTGGCCTGAGAGCTGCAGCATCCACCAGACCCAGGATTGTAGCCTGGCACCTGCAGAACCAAGTAGGTGTACAGGCTGGCGCTCAATAGCCCAAAGGAGATGCCTTCCTGCCAGAGATCCCTGTCCAGCCGGGGAGCAGTTCCCAGGACTGCCCAATTCTCAACCAGCTGGCTGCATGGTAGGAGGGGGCTTCTGCCCACCTGAAAGAAAGGCTGGGTTGCGTAAAGGCCCCCCCCCGACCCTCTCAAGCGCTGGGCTGCGGGTGCTACCCCAGAGAGCCTCAATCAGGGCCAAGTTCCTGGCAACCGATTGAGGTATGACAGACTGTTCTTGAAGAGGGTGCAAGACGCGTGGGGCTTCCTGCTGCTTTTGCAGCCACAATCGGCTACAAAAGCAGCCGTGATTCTTGCCATCTCTTCTCCCCACCCACCTTGCCGGGCATGGCAGGGCTTCCTGCCCCTTGCTTCTCCACCTCCCCACCTGCCACCCCCAAATTGTGCCCCAAAATAAGACACCCCCCCCCGAAAATAAGGCCAAGCCCTTTGGGGTTCAAAAAAATATAAGTTAGGGTCTTATTTTTGGGGAAACATGGTACTCTGCACTTATCTACAACAACTTCATGGTGGCCACCTGGTGCCAGAACACGGTCAGCACATAGTAGAGTCCCAGCAGCTGTGCTGCACCCGCCACAAGCGCCTCTGCTGCCAAAGTCCCAAAACTGAGAATGCAGTATGAGTGTGCATGTGCTTATCTGCCAGCAATTTGGGGAGGCGAGCTTGTGGAGCACCGAATTGTCCCCACATCGAGTTAACCAGTGCGACTTGTTCCATTCCAAGTCAGCTATGCCCAGTGAGCGGCATTGAGCCAGCCACACCCACCTAATTGTGGCAACCCAGCCGTGACTACCCAGCCACGCCCACCTGGCCGCTGTGAATCGTCATAGTCTTGCATGCAATTGGCCCTTTGAAGGCAACCATAATGCTGATGCATTATGAAATTGAGTTTGATACCCCTGGGCTAGGGGATCTTTCCTGTTTTCTACTTTTGTTATTTTTATAGGATTAATAGCCACTGATATATATTTAATATCTGAAAATGACAGATTCTTTTTATTACGTTTCAATGTTTTTTCTGTTTTAGATAGTTTGCAAACCAGTTTATTTATTAGTTCAGGTACACATTTCTGGTTTTCCACATGCTCCTCCAAAAATCTAAGTCATTTTAAACTGTTTCTTTTATATTAACTGCAATTGATTTGTGGGCTCCTTTCAGGATGTCAATGGACACAACATTGCTGATTCCTGCCTTATTTAGCATCAGTTACATAGAATTCTTTATTATTCTGTTTGAGTCTTTAGGTTAAGTATCCCAAAAGTTTGTTATTTTTATTAAACAGTTTGGTTCTTCACATTTCACTTAAACATTATATTGCTTTAAGGGAAGTAAGCAATTTTTCAATTGCAACTGAAAGCTGAAGGAATTATTTTCTCAAGTATCTATGCTAAAATGAAAGTGCCTTTTAGGGATTATTTTCTTAAATTATAAAGCTAAGGTCAAATTACTCCTTTTTGACTTTGGAAAATAAATCTGGAGCTAAGCAATTCTGTTAATGGTTCTTAAATAGTCTATTGGATCTTCTTTCAATAAATTGAAACTTTGTGATTAGGAAAGTATTGGAAGCACTCACAATGACTTCCCTTCCTTGCTTTGCCAACAAAGACTCTTTTCATGCCACAGATGATGAAGATTCTGATTACCAACAAGATACCTACAAAGAATCATACAAGGATCGCCGTCGACGTGCTCATACACAAGCTGAGCAAAAGCGGAGGGATGCTATCAAGGTGAGAATATGAAAAACCACACATATATGCATGCTTGCTATTTGTTGCATCTCAAATTCCTTACAAGGAGTTTACAAAGCTTCTATTTTCGAAGAACAGGTAAAAGAATAGATTTACTGACCAGGTTCTACTACTTGTTTTTAATTTTCTTGTCATATGTGGCAGATTTGATATGTGAGTTGTAATGTTTTTGTTTTTCTAACAGAAAGGTTATGATGATTTGCAAGCAATTGTACCGACATGCCAGCAGCAAGATTTCTCAATAGGCTCCCAGAAGCTAAGCAAGGCGATTGTGCTGCAGAAGAGTGAGTAGGGCTCCCAAAATTATCTGTTTCTTGGCCCATCTCCAAGACCCGTTATAAGATTCCCAGAAATTTGTACAAATTTCAGAGTTTGCATTATATAACTATTAAATTCTGTAAATAGCTGACTCTTACCGCTGTATCTAACAAGTAGAACAAAATGGAATAGAATAATCACTTTTCTGATTAAAATATTTTAATAAAAGGTGTAAATTTTCATGAGCCCTGTAACCCACTTTGTAGGAGATATATAGTGGCTAGATTGTTGCAGAGATAGAGGAAGGAGAGGCTATACAGATTATATGAGAGACAGCTTTGGAAATGTGTCTGATTTCCAAAGAGACTACTACTGAGCTAGCAGTTGCTTAATTCCAGTTTAAATCTTCAGTTTAGCCTCTCTAAATTTACATCTTTAACAAAAAAAAATAGTTATAAAACGTATAGGTAGACACCATACACTATTGCCATCATACACTAACATGGTTCTCCAAAACGTGTTAGTCTTAGCGTTTGTGAATCTATTTAATTCTGTCTTCATTCTAGGGAATGGAATGGCACCTTTAATGTAACTGAGCTTAGAAATATCTGAATAGCCAGGTGTTGTCTGTTGGGCTTTGAAAAGACTTAATGGCTCCTTTCTAAATTGTTGCTTTCTCTGCTACCTAGCTATTGATTATATTCAATTCTTGCACAAAGAAAAAAAGAAACAAGAGGAAGAGGTCTCCACTCTCCGGAAAGATGTGATGGCCTTGAACATCATGAAAGTGTAAGACTTGTGCATTTCTATATTCATGATTCACTAGTTGACCTCCCCAAAATAAAGTGCAGTATTAGAAGTAAGAGCAGGGAGACCTATGTTTTAAACTACCTTCAGTCATGGAAGGTCACAGGCTGACTTTCTTAACTCAATCAGGGCTGTGATTTTCAGGAAAAATAGTAAAAAATGTTACATATTTTACCTTGAATATGTATGCCTACAGGGAGGAAAGGAGGAGACAGATATTTTTAGTTCAACAGTAAATGGCATTCTGTCTTTGAGAAATATTTACTTTGTAACATGATTATCATTATTACAGCTCTTCCATCCTATCCTTAAGAAATGTTTCTTCTACAAAATGATAATCAATTTATTATTCCAGATCTGATTATTCCACATTTTCTGCTAAATTAACTAACTACATATATGCATTTCAGAAACTATGAAGATATTGTTAAAGCTCATCAGGACAATCCCAGTGAAGGAAAGAACCAGATCTCTGACCAAGTGAAGTTCAATGTTTTCCAGGGTATCATGGACTCCTTGTTCCAGTCCTTTAATGCCTCCATCTCTGTAACAAGCTTTCAGGAGCTCTCAGCTTGTGTTTTCAGCTGGATAGAAGAGCACTGTAAGCCACAGGTAATTCCAGAACATAAGAACATATGGCCAATATCACATATAGGAAAAATATACCTGATTTGTTCGTGGAATCCTAGATTCAGAGGTAATCATATAAAAAAGTCTTAATGAGGATACTGTATCCATTGCTGTCCCTTAAATAACATTCGTCAGATTCTCTAGCTGGCTTTTGTGTTTAATAAATAGCCTAACAGTGGCAGAGATGGTCATGTCTTTCATAGGAAAGTACTCTTGGCACTGTTTAGGAGGAAAATAAAGCACTTGAATGGAAGCAGCATTTTTTCCCCATAATCTTGCTGCACTGTAGGTGATGAAAGTTCTATTCCAATGCTAAAAGTTTGAGAAACTGCCAAACTGAAATAGAACGGCGATTGTTGGTGATTTATACCAGAAACAGTTATCAACTTACTTAGTGCCTTTTTCCACAGACCCTGAGAGACATTGTCATTGGTGTACTGCAACGACTGAAGAGCCAACTCTACTAATCAAAGAGAAAGCATTGAAGGGGCCTAATTTGGAGATATATGGCCAAGAAGCTTTATTCCTTCCAGTAATTCCATTTCAAGCATTTTTAGGGCTACAGATTGGGTTTACCTCTGGAATCCCCTCAGTTTACACTGCAAGCTCTTCAGATGAGCAGAAAAATAATCAGCTCTCAGTTCATGGGGATTGCTTGCTGCCATCTCTTTTTCAAGCCTTGGCTCTATCTGTTCCTATGCATAAGTGTAGCTGATCTAATAGAAATGTATTTACAATATACCAGGGTTTCACAATGAGCCAAATTCTTTTCTTAATGTCTCTTCTCCTCAGTTTGGTAAATACTTTTTCTAAATGCATAGATGTTATATCTAAGGTTTGGTTCAAGGAGCAGTAGCTAATGTAATGATTATAAAAACAAAGCTGTTTTATATACTACCATGACTCCATGTAGCATTTACCTTGGGTTAAGGGCAGAGAACCAGGGAAGTTAAGCAATAAACTGCCTTCCTTTGTATAATACATTCTGATAGCCTTGTAGAGAGCTAGTAAGTCATCTAGCAACAACCTTCTGTTGTGTAGCCAACCTCCAGCTTTTTAAAATTAACCTATATGCAATCATTATTTGCCTTCACTTCAATTCTATGGATTAAAAGCCTGAATAGGCTTATCAATTATGTTGTATTAGCAATAAAGGGGAAATACCTTTTAGTCTCTTGCAGCCTTGATTTCTAATAATGCAATGAAGTGAATTAAGCCAACTCCCTTCTGCAGCTCCTTGGTTTTTGTTTTTTTGTTTTTTTTTGCTGCAAAGGTGGGTCCACTGTCTTTTATAGGCACTGCTTTCTTATCTACTGCTGGTTGGTGGAGAAGGACATTAACTGAGACAAGACCTTGCTATTTTTTTATTATGACATGCAGTTCTAATAAATTTGCTATGTGGTTGAATGACTTGTTGGCTTTGCCTGATTTTATCTAAAATATTTTAGAAAACTCTGGACCTAGGTGTTTGGGTTGAAATTACTCATTATTTCATGGTAATTGTATAAAATGCTAATTTCCAGACTAGGGGCTATCCCATTATTTTGGACTCTGAATCATATATAATGTTCCACTGACACCTTCAGGTAGGAATTTCCACAATATTGGCCCTTATTTGAAGAGGGGTCAGCAACTTGAAATGTCAAAATGAATGTATTATACATCTGGCTTAAGGGAACAGTATTACCATTAGCAAAAATAAAGTCCTTGTGCTACTGAAAATTTGTATTTTACTCCCAAACTTTGGCAATATGATCTTGTAGGGCGATTGCCAGTCACATGCAACCATATATGAGTATGCTGATCTTTGATCTAATCCAATAGCCACTTGCCCAAGTCAGGAAACTAATCTTTTAATATCAATTTTCCAAGGTACATTGTTTTTCTTCCATGTAACAAAGAAGAGGTAAACCCAGTATTCTTTCTCCCACAATTGCCCAATTAAATTGGAGAAAATGTATTCAATGTGTTTGCATCTCACAAGGTGACTCATAGCATAAAGCAAAGCATGATGGCTAAGTAACAACTGACATTAAAATTTCCCCAATTCTTGGTGGGATAATTAGCTCACTCTAAGTAGTAGTGTTGCTTTAATGGCATAATATGCTGTTAATACAATATGCAGTCCAATTACAGAGAAAATACTATTCAAAATTCAAGTACTTTGAGCCCCCTCCCCCATTTTCTCAAGTGCATATTAACATTTTGTTCTAACTACTATAAGAACAAAACAATCAGACTGATTAGGAAGTCCTATGGCGAAATACTAAGAAAAAACTAAAGTGTAAAATGGGAGGTGTGCTTGTCCCCAATGAATGCAAATATTTTTAAATTCTGAAAATCAGAGCAACATAGAATGAAAAACTGAAACTTGAATGCTTAAATTTCAATTATGCAGATGAGATCTTGGTTCACATAGAAGGTACTGTAACATTGAAATCTTCATCTGTCTCAATGCCAACTTCATCCTGAACAATAAACAACACATTTCTTTTAAGGTGATAATAAATGAAAATAAGAGCATTCTGCAGACCATACCTGGCCCAGTAATTGAACAATCCACAGTTGGAACTGACCAAGAAATGCCTGCTTATATCCCTGTGGCTCTCAATATCAGTTTACATGTAATACTCACAAAGAACTGTTTCTTGCTTTTCGGATAGCCTTCAAGGATTGCATCAAGTAATTCTGTGGCCTGTTGAGAAAATTATGTCTTATGTTTAGTTGCTATCCTTTCTACAAAAAGATTGGCAGACAGAAATAATATAGATCTGGTAATTATAGGAGAAAATATATGAATTTCTCTTAGCTAGTTGAAAACACAGCTGGCAAGCAATTGGAAAGTTATTCCATAAATCTGAAAACAAAATTTCTCAGAATAACATAGACAATAATGATAAAAATAATCACTTTTCAAAATCTATAAGTCAACATTTTTTCTATCATTTTACTTAAATATGCCTCAAAAAGAAGTAAGAAAAAAAGATAGAAACAGGAACTTTCATCTTGAGATACAAAACTTCATATTAAATTATTATTAACAAGAAAAATCAATTGGAAATATTTTGTTAAAAGACTGATTTAAGAAAAATAATTATAGTATTTTTCACAATTATTTGTTGCTATGCTACCTTTTCAATAATGCATTTCCCATATTTTTATTATAATTGATCCAAAAGGTTAAGTGTTTGGTTTCCAAGAATCCTATGGTCTTAACAATTTACACAAAGAAAATGAAGGTGCAGTTCTTAGAGCGCACATAACTTTCCATATTGCTACATTTTTCAATAGCTGAAGCTTACCAAAACATCCATGCCAAGAAAGTTATACTCTTATTGACAACTACCTTGTACATATTTTAATCTTGTATTTTATATTATAAATTTTATGCCGTATAATTTAATTTTGATGCTTCTGACACGAATAAGCAAATTATTTTCAACACAAAGAGAGGAAGAATGCAACATTTAGTTTAACAGATAATAGGCATGAATCCCTGCATTCAATAACCAGATTAAATTATGCATGGAAAGTGAGTCTGCAGCTGTATATTGTAAGCCATCACTTGAATATTATCTTTTACACTTGAAAAATCGAATATTAGAATGTATTCTATTGCGTTTCCTAAATACACACTCAACACATCATTTTTTAAACCGTAAATAATTGTGTCTTACCATTCTCTTGCGGCGACGCCATTCTTTGCAGTACAGCTTTTTCTCATTGTATACCTGCAATCAACAAAACCCAAGCAATCCTTATGTTTTCAGGTCTAATGAAACAGCTCAGACTGCAGCCAGCTTTGATTTAGGAATGAAAGCTGCAGCATCCAAAATTGAGTATTGACAAACTACCTGCACGAAAAAGGCCTTAAAAGAGCATTCATGTTTATTCCCATTTAATGCCAATTAGAATTAGATTTTAATTAGACAATTAGATTTTCAACGCTCTTGATGTATGCCAGGTTGTGGGAGTTCCCCAGATCACATGAACAATTGTTACCGTAACAAATATTTACAATGTTGCAAATTTCTGTACAATTCATTGACTAATGATATGTGCCATAAACTAAACTTAATGAGCATATAGCTTATTATATTAGAGTATTATGCAATTTGATATAGTCTTCCATATATTAAGCTTTATGTTACCCTACACTTAATACTTCTACTCTTCCCTTTAGATTTTTATATATACTTTCTATTTTATATCTTTTAGATTTTTTAAAAACGGTGTTTTTAACTGATTGCACCTTAACCAGGGATGAAATGCTTCCAGTTCTGATCCAGGAGCGATGGAGGTGGGTGGTTCAGAGAACCGGTAGCAAAAATCCCTGCCCGCCCCCCCCCGCCAATGCCCAGCTGAGCCGCACAATCATCAGAGGCTTTTTTTTTTTACTTTTAAAAGCATTTTTTCTACAACCTCTTCGCCGAAAAAATGCTTTTAAAAGTAAAAAGAAAAAAGGCTTTGATGATCTGGGATCATCTGGGATTGTCAGAGGCTTTTAAAAGAAAAAAAACCCTTTGTTTCTTTTAAATGCCTGTGATCCAAGCTGAGTTGCCTGATCGTCAGAGGCATTTAAAAGAAAAAAAGTTTCTGCTGATCAGGCAACTCAGCTGGGATCATCAGAGCCTTTTGAAAGCATTTTTTTACAACCTCTTCGCTGAAGAGGTTGTAGAAAAAATGGTTTTAAAAGTTAAAAAAAAAAAGGCCACGCCCACTCAGTCACATTACCCCCCCCTCCCACCAAGGCACGCCCACAGAACCAGTAGTAACAAATTTTAGATTTCACCACTGACCTTAACCCTCTATATGCTGGCCTGAGATCATAATAGAGATTTGATTATTGGCAAAGAATAATGTGTTTTGGAGTCCTGGGACTCCTCTCTCTGTGATGCTTGACTTAATTTTGGAATATTCGGCACTTCCACTGCCCTTATATATGGTTGGTATAGAATAGCGGGGCAGCCAGAATGGGCAGTCTGAACCATCCCTTTCTCTGCCACTGGACCCTCCCTTTGCAGCTTTGTTACCTTTTCTTTCTCCTCAGGGGACACATGATTGGCAGCAGATTTGATCAATTCCAGTTTCTCTGTATAATTGGCACAATCTTTTTTTAACTCTTCAATTTCTTTAACCATCTCTGGGGTTGTCATAGAGCCCTTCAGTTCTTTCAGTTCTGGAATGGAATTGCTAGTTAGAATAGCTGAAATAGCACTGGTCAGTGGGAAGGCTTGCAGGCATCCCAGCTGCAGCTCAGATACAAAAAGTTCCCAGTTTCCATGCCATTCAAGCACTCAATTGCACAGGCATTCACACTCAACCAACTGATTTAACCTTCCTGAACGCACCTGATTCCATGTGACGACAGTTCTGTTGGAGTGTCTGAACTTTGCAAGATAATTCTGAAATCTCATTGTCCAAGCCCTTGAGTTCTGATTCACTCGTATTACCGAAACGATTCTGGAAAAACATGTATAGGACAGAGCATTAATCTAAGATGATCAGCAGATGTTTTATGTATATTTTCTATTATGCTATAATGTAATAAACCACATTGCAAGCAATCAAGTTTTTGTGAAAATAAAACCTTCATTGTATATCCTTGTACTATCTTTATAGTATGTTCAGCCAATGCACTTCTCTTCCAAAACAATCACTATCCATTTACAAAGAAATAATTTTCAGCTGAGAAGCAATTTGCTTATTTAGTAAAACTGTAAAACACCATCTCCATCAAGATTCTTTCTCTGATGTTTAAAAATTTGATACAACAATATAAAACTATGTCTTGTAATATTAAGTTTCAACTTAATTTATGTAAGAAATTTTCATCATCTGATCATCTAGTTCAATATTCTGTCAACTGCTGGCTAAATGGATTAATCTGGGAAGCTCACATGCCTCTACTTGCCACTTTAGTTTCCTGGTAACTAATATTTTTATTTATGTAACTTCTATTGTTAGATTTCTACTCCATCTTTCTTCAGAAACTCAGAACGCATGAAGAAGTCTGGCACTCCCTCCCTCAATTTACCCCTGCAAAGTACAGCTCCATGAGATTGGTTGGCGGACACAGTAACTGTCCCAAAATCACTTGGGGAATAAGAAGAGATGTGAATGTGGGATTCCTATGTCCCAGGCCAATACCTACATGGCAAGCATCATTTTGATTGCTTATTTGTACCCTATGACTATCATTAAGTGTTGTACCTTATGATTCTTGATGAACGTATCTTTTCTTTTATGGACACTGAGAGCATAGGCACAAGAAAATTCCTTGTGTGTCCAATCACACTTGGCCAATAAAAAATTCTATTCTATTCTAAAAACCAGAGCTGTCTAGATCAGGGGTCCCCAATCTTTGGGCCACAGCCCACTATCGGGCTGTGGCCTATTTGCAACCGGGCCACAGGCTGGCAATGTGTGTGTGCATGTGCAGCTTGACTCATGCAAGCAGTGGGCTGGCGCACATGGGGGTGCATATAACTCAACTCGTGTGCATAGCGGCATGTGCAGGCATGTGCATGTGCAGCTTGACTTGCAGTCCAGCTGCATATGCATGTGTGCTCACGCAGCATGGTTCCCCTCCTCCCACCAGCCGGGCCGCCAAGCTGCAAAAATTGGTGACCCATCTTATGTACCAGCGACTATACATCTTCTTGCTGGCTGTTCCTGCTGACTATTCACATATCCAGACAGAAGCCCAAACAAATGTTTAATGTAGCTAGCTAATAAAAACAAACTGAGATCACAATTCTAACTTGTAGAAGTGTTGGGCTGGCATCAGAGTCTTTTAAGTTACTAAAAGAATCTGGAAAAGAGAAGTTGAAGATGTGTAACAGCTGGTATATAAGGTGGATCTAGATAGCTCTAGTTGTTGATACTGATTATTGGTTTTAGAAAAGCACATGGATTTTGGCAGCCCTGAAAAAAAATGAGTTAGTTTTCTTGCTGAGGCTTTGTTTTCTATTTTTTTCCCTGGGGTGGTAGAAGTTAAATTTAAGTTTCACAGAATGGCATTTCACCTGATCTGGAAAATAAATCTTCTGTTTCCCATAAACCTTTTCGTTGATCTTCCCTTGCTGAGCCAACTGTTCCAGTGCCTTCACTACAGCCTAAATCAAACAGAAAACAAGAAAATGCAGAATGAGAAAAATTCATAACTAAGTGGAGGACTGAAATGAAAACTGCAAATTGTTTGAACATCAAAGGAAGATGAAAATTTGATAGAGAAAATTCTTTGCTATAGGAGAACTGAGCACAAAACTCATGGCATTTCAGAAGAAATCTGCCAACTCAGGTGGTGGAGGTAGTTGGGAGTTAGTGCCAGTATGTGAATATCTGCTTAAATTGTAACATGCTGCATAACACAGTACAAATAAAAACTGATGCCATAAGCAGAGAAACAATAGTTTTTCTAAACTAATCAGTTTCTTCAAGGACTCATGTCATGAACATTATGAACATTCATTATTCTTGTAGATTAGGATTATGTTAAATTAAAATACCCAATCTGGAGAATTTAAAAGATACATAGCATACATTTGGAAAGTGAAGTGCAATATTATTTTGACCAGTGGAGCTAACACAAGTCCCTCAACGCATCTCTGACATTGTCTTACCGTCTTGCCCAATCCATGTTGTTTCTGTAAGTTGCTAAAGACATCCTGAGCACTATGAGGCCGGTTCTGCTCCTGAAGATAACGTAGCAGGATGGCAGCACATTCTCCAATTCAAAAAGGGAAAAAGAAAATTTTAATGACAGCCTAGCATATGAGGAAATTGCATAAAAACAGAAAGAAAGATAATTTAATATCTGGAGGATGAATAACATTCTCCATCTGTTAAAAAATTTGGTAGGCAACAAGGCCATAAGCAGAGAAGCTTACTGCAAAGCTACTAAATGCCGTGCAACTTTGTCAATATTCAAGCAATACGACTTATTATGGTAGAGATTGTGATATTTTACAATATAATATCTTGTATTATAATATAATATCTTGTATTATTTATATTACAATAGCAAACGCATTGGTAGGCCAGTGACCACTGAGAAGCATAAAAAAATATTTTTTCTTTTTCTCCTTAGTTTGCATTTTTAGCTGGTATTTTTTAGAAAAAAAAAATTTTTAAGATTGTTTTATTACAAAATAAGTACATATCAGACAAAGACAGGAAAAAACACGTTCCACTTTAAGCCTTTCCAAAGCAGCAGCACTCCCATACATTTCCTGGCCAGGGTGGGAAATGTAAAAATTTGGAAAATATCCGATTGGGGTGTTGTTAAAAAAAAAAGAAGAAGAATGCGAAGATACTACACTCTACATCCTATAGACGGGTTCGTCACCAAGGACTTTCAAATGCTGGAAACAAGGGAATTTGGTGGTGGTGTTTTTTTTAAATAAAGCGGATTTCACGATAAGCGCACTTTGCTTTGTATATGAAAAACGGAAGAGGACCACGGATCCGCGCAACACCCTCTTTGGATTTCTAGTTGCGTTACCATCAGATGCGTCGCGCTTCTTCCCTCCTCCGCTCATCCTGATCAGGGCGGGACTCCTATCGGAAGCGGAAGCTCCTGCCTGGGACAGAGATTCCAAAAATAGACATATGTCAAAAGAAATAGACTTCCGGGTTGAACGTCAACGTCATTTTGGGATACTGCTGGGGATGCAAAGCTGTCCTTTGCCGTTTAAAATGTAGCGCTGCTGAAAAGTAGTGACTAGTACCAGTCCATCTAACTCTCTCGGCTGGCGGGATTGAACGCTGCCTTTGAACTCACAGGGACTGCAAAAAAAGAGCCAAGACCATTAGATTTTTCCCTCTGCTGTTTTCTGAGAGATACTTACAATGGATGTGGCTACCTCTTTTTTTTGTTAGAAACCAGTGACTGGGGATATTTATATTTATATCCCATCTTTATTATATATTTTTTTATAAATAACACTCATGGGGGTGAAAATGCCTAATATTCTTTCCTATTTTCCCCACAACAATTTTGTAAAGTGGGTTGGGCTAAGAGAGAATGACTGGCCCAAAGTCATTTTAGCTGGCTTTCCTGCTTAAAGTGGGATTATAACTCAGTCTCCTGGTTTCTAGCCTGGTGCTTTAACCACTAGACAAAACTTCACTTTCCTTCCACTTTTCCCAGCATGACAGATTTCTCAATGTGACTAGGTCTTCCCATGTATAAAGAATATTATAATATGAGGATGAAACTTGCCTCCTGTGCCTTGAATGACAATCCTGATTTGATTTGTTTTATGATCCATTTATTTGTTTTCATGGCTATCTATGATACTCTCAGGAGTCTTTTCCAACAGCAAACTTTTTCTTTCTTCTCTAAAGTTGAAAGTTTGCATCCATGGAACAGTGTTTGCATCTTCAAGATGTATGGACTTAAACTCTGAGGAGTTCTACAGACAGCAATCTGTCCACTCTAGGACATTCTGAAATTTGAAGTCTACCATCTTAAAGTTCCTAAGGTTGAAAAATCATTATATTTTCAGAAACTGATAAGTTACCCAACTGTTGTATTATTATATTGTAGGTTGCAAAGTAAAACTACATTTTCCTTTGTACTACAGGTAGTCCTTGATTTACAGCAGTTTGCTTAGTGATTGTTCAAAGTTACTGTGGCACAGAAAGAAGTGACATGACCATTTTTCACTTTAGAACCATTGCAGGGTCTCATGGTCATGTGATCAAAATCCAGACACCTGGTAACTGACTCATAGTTATGACAGCTACAGTGTGCCCGGATCACCTTTTGCAGCCTTCTGATAAGCAAAGTCAATGGGGAAACCAGATTTACTTAACAACCATATTATTAACTTAACAGTTGTAGCGATTCACTTAACAACTGTGGCAAGAAAGTTCATAAAATGGGGCAAAGCTCACTTAACTGTTTTGGTTAGCAATTTGGACTCAATTGTGGTGATAAGTTAGGGACTAGCTGCATTTCCAACTTTGACATTCCAACCTCCAACCACAAGCACCATGTCTTATTTGTATATTTTGTCTATTTCAGATTGAATCTGATCATCAACTACCTCATTTCTTTTGCATCAATGATTGGGACATACACTTGAAATCTAAGTGCTATTAGTCAGTGGCAGCGTTCTATTTAAATGCTATCTTTGCTATATCATTCTTGACTATGGAGCAACAACATTCCTTCTTTGTTTGTCATATTCTGACTATAAATAATATGATCTTTGACTTGAAGTAACTAATTTCAGTTTATTTCAGTGTGCTGATGCCTCAGAAGCCAATGTATAGCCGAGTCATTTAATTTTTCACTGGGTTGAATCTTCCCATGTTTGTATTTCTTATGTTCTATGTTCTCAGTATAATGTTATCTTTGCAGCTTCAGCAATTAGATATCCCTAAACGCTTTAATCTAAACTAGGGCTGTCAAACTCCTGGTCCATGAGCTGGATGCGTCACATGCTGGCCATGCCGACTCCTGGTTTAGCAAAGGGGAAAAAAGTCCTGATACATCAGGTGATGCTGCCGTGCCTTGAGTTTGATACCCCTGATCTAAATGGTATCATAATCATCAGTATTTTACAACAGTCTAAGCTCTTCTTCAGTAGCATGTTGAGTGTCATCTATCCAATGGGGCATGTCATCTGCCTCAATATTGATAACTATTTTATTTTGTCAATCATCATGATTTATTTGGGTAAATGCACAGTAGATAAATACAGGATTATTTGAGAGGACTACATTTTCTGTGGTTAGATAAATTCTCACTATATTGGAAAGTGAGAATGTATTTACCACTACCTTGCAAGAATTTAGCCATCTGAACTGTGAATCTGTTTTGTATTTTATTAGGAATTGTGGTATATTTAAAAATATCTATGTGGGATTAATATAAGCAGCAGAATGGCCACCCCAGCAAGATCTTTAATTTGTCCCTACAGATGTTCACATCCCACTGTCCTAAAAGCGGGGCTCTTGATCACCTAGGTTATTTTTATAGATAAAACCTATAAGTATTTTAATTTATTAATTAATTAAAATAAACTCCTCTCCTCCAAACTTAGCATAAGGAATGATGTAAAACCTAGGAGATATATCATCATTCTTGCCTAAGAAGGTTTGCAATATATATCACATTTTGCAATGCATGTTACCAAATCATGATGAGTAGAACCTTATTATAAACAAACCAGGCATTTATTCTTCAGAGCTTGAGACTTATAGGATTCAAGATTGGGGTCATTGGATTGGAAGTAAGGATTAAGGATACATGGTTGCTTCTGTTTTCCCTGGAATGGACGTTGTCTTACCTGAACGTTCATTTTGTTCTCGATGCTCCGACACTCCACTGTATGGGTTACTTTTCTCTGTCATTAGTTCGACTGGGTGCCAATCAAATCTTCCTCCACAGCTTTGTCCCGCCTACTCCAACTGCGCATGTCCAGTCTTTTCACGAAGTCCATCCAGAACTATCATCAGACTGTTACCCTTAGTGCTTGTAGAACCTGAAGTCTCAACCTCCTCTTCTATGTCCTTCATGTAACTTTCACTGTAGAGGAAAATAAAGAACACCCCAGCCGGACCAGGTGATGGATAGTACTTGGGCGGGTCGGAGTGTCGGAGCATCGAGAACAAAATGAACGTTCAGGTAAGACAACGTTCCATTTACCTCCTCGATGCTCCGCCACTCCACTGTATGGGACTTACCCAAGCCTAATTCATTTGGGAGGGATCTACATCCATCTCCTGGCCATGGCTGGGAATTATTGCCTGTAAAACTCTCCTACCAAAAGCCCCCTCTGCGGATGCAAATGTATCTACTTTGTAGTGTCTTATAAAAGAGGAAATAGATGACCAAGTGGCCGCTTTACAAATTTCCTCTATAGATGCTTGCTTGGCCCAAGCTATCGATGTAGCTGCACTTCTCGTAGAATGAGACACTATACCCTGTGGTACTTGATAACCTTTCAATTTATATGCAGAAGAAATGCATAATTTAATCCATCTACCTATCGTTGATGATGAAACTTTCTGACCCATCGTTGATGGCAGAAATGAAACCAGTAATGCTTCTGTCTTTCTGAATTCAGCTGTCTCAGTTAAGTAATATTTCAATGCTCTACGTACATCTAACGTATGCCACATCTTTTCCATCGGATGTTTCGGATCTGGACAAAAGTTTGGTAATATAATTTCCTGAGCCCTATGAAAAATAGTATTGATTTTTGGAATAAACGACGGATCTAGTTTCATAACAACTCTATCCGAAAAAAACACACATAGATCTTTTCGAATTGACAATGCTGCCAATTCCGACACTCTCCTTGCTGATGTTATAGCCAACAAAAATGCTAATTTAATTGTCAAATGTCTTAAAGATGATTCTTTGATGGGCTCATAAGGACCAGATGTTAAAGATTGCAACACCAAATTAAGATCCCAATTTGGAAATCTATGTACCACAGGTGGCCTTAAATTTACTGTACCATGTAAGAATGATTTAATTCTTTCATCCTGTGATATAGAATGTTTTCTATCTGTTGATAATACTGTAGCTAAGGCTGCTACCTGACATCTCAGAGTTGCTGTGGCCAATCCTTTATCAAAACCTAACTGTAGGAATTTAAGAATGTCCTGAATGGACGCAGATGTGGGGTCTGTATGTTTTTCTAAACACCAAAGAGCAAACTTTTTCCAAGTCGCATTGTAAATGCGTATTGTAGCTGGCCGTCTGGCTGCTTGAATAGTGGCAATAACATCATTTGGTAAATTGTCCTTCATTAACCGAATCCGTTCAATCGCCAGACGGTCAACTGCAGCCATTCTGGATCTGGATGAAATATTGCTCCTTGACTTAGAGAAGTACTGTCCAGTGGTAGCTTCCATGGTTTGTGTATTGATCGATCCATGAGGTCTGCAAACCACTCCCGACGTGGCCAGTAAGGAGCTATCAAAATGAGATCTGCCTTTTCTTCCATCATCTTTCTGATTACATGTGGAATGATCGGAATAGGTGGAAATGCGTAAAGAAGACCCTTCGGCCATTGGGCCCTCAACGCATCCTGATCTTCTGCCCCCGGAGTCTTGAACCTGGAGAAGAATCTTGGGAGTTGTTTGTTCTTCTCTGTTGCAAACAAATCCAGTATCGGTGTTCCATATTTGGTTACAATCAGGTTGAACAGTCGTGGATGTAATTTCCATTCTGCTTGATCTATTATTCCTCTGCTTAGCCAATCTGCTTGTTGATTTAGTGATCCTGAAATGTGTTCTGCTCTTATTGAACTTACATTTCTTTCTGCCCATGCCATCAATCTCTCTGTCTCGCTCATGAGACACTTCGACCTTGTTCCTCCCTGCCTGTTTAGATGGGCCTTCGTGGCCATGTTGTCCGTGAGAATTAACACATGTTTCTGTGCTACTTCCCTGTGGAAATGTCGAAGAGCTAATCTGACCGCCCTCAGTTCTAACCAGTTTATATTCTGTTGTTTCTCGGCCAACGACCACGTTCCCTGAGCTAATTGAGAATTCAGATGCGCCCCCCATCCTAGCAGACTTGCATCTGTTGTCAAAATGACT